GTTAAGAGCACTGGCTGCTATTGTAGGACCCTGGTTCAGTTACTAGCTAACATCTGTATACTAGAAGATAGTGACACTTCTCTCTGACCTCTGTGGGCATCACACACACACACACACACACACACACACACACACACACACACACACAGTTCCTATACATACATGTAGGCAAACACTCATGCACATAAAATATAATAAATTTTCCTGTGAGCCCAGGACTGTGAAGGGATCTCTTCACCCTGAGCAGTGCAGCCCACTTAGAGAGGGGTACAACTCTCCCTCAGACCCCACATTGGGGCTGTTTCACTTTTTCTAAGAGGTAAAGTTAGGACAAACCAAAGCCTTCCTGCTTCCCACAGCAAGACTGGATTCAGAAAGCATGTTCCCCAGTGAGTAGAAGCTGGAACTCAAGGAGGTTGGGGGCAGGTTCAGATAAAGCCACCAGTGACTAGATCCCTTAACGAACTATTAAGAGAAACCGGCTATTTTGGGACTGTCTTTACTTTCAGGGACATCTTTAATCACTCGAAACTGACATTCTGACCCAGGGTGACCTGATCCTCAGAGCCCCCATAGGACTTGTGGCCCCTATGGACCATTTCTGGTGTCCTCAGGTTATGGGAGGACCACAATCCAGGCAATGGTCTTTGCCCAAAGAGTGGTTCCCCCAGGAGGGGAGGGGCAACAGCTTATCCCTGGCTACCTTTTATATCCTTGTAGAGGAAGGAAGGGGGGCAGTGGCAACTGAAAGGGTGAGTCCGGAAAGGTCTCAAGGTGCTGAAAACATACCGTCCCCTTTGCTCTACAACCTCCTGACCACATTCCTTCCTGCTGCTTCATTCTCCCTGGGGTACTGGACCGGGGAAGCGAGGCCTGGGGGAGCTGATCAGAATAGTTCTGTAGCGTGGCCAGTAAGGAGCTTAGCCTGGCCCCTTTCCTGGGGCCAGACCCTGGGACCCTTTCCCAATTTCCTGTCTCATATATGCTGAGCAAGCATAGGCCTTCCTCCTGGTGGGGGCAGCTGGTGTTAAGCCAACAATTTTCAAAAGTTGAGTCACTCAATGTCTTTCCTTCCTCAGCTTTCCATCCTGTTGGGGCCTCACTCAGGAGCTCCTCTGCCAGAGTGTCTGACAAAAGCTACAGGATGGAAAATTAGAGGTGCCTTTAGCAAAACTCCATAGATCCTCAGTTGTGGGCTTGGTTTCTCTCCCAGGCCATTGGTTCCCTCTCTGCTCACCTCAGGAACCATTTACTCTTCCTAATCTGACATTTTTGCAACTGAGTGTATCTTTCCTAAACTAAGGCATTGATACAGAGGGAAGGCATGGTCTAACACAATGCAGAAGCCGCCATGTAAGAACTACTGTGCCCAAGATGTCAGGAAGCTAGCCAGCAATATCTTCTCCACTGATGCATGATGTTCTCACACCCAGTCTTATTTAAATAAAGGCAATTTATGTTGACTTATCATTCACTGCCTAGGACTTCACAGTTTATAAAGCTCATCTGTTGTTTTTAACACTCCAAACGCTTATGTGAGATATTGGGCTAGTGATTCTGTGTTTGTTCACGTATCAGGAAAGACAATGAAGATGATTACCCTGAGTCACCTGGCTGCTAAGGAGAGCTGGATCTAGCCCCCCAGCTCTAGAGGCTCTGTGTAATACTATATACCGTGGCTTTCCTATGTGCCTGTGAAAACATGGGGCAAGGAAAGAAAGAGAAACCTGGGCATTTGTGGTACTGTGTGAGGAAACTTGCTCTTCTGCCTGATATCTAACTGCTCAGCCTGTCAGCTTAGGCTTCACCAGCTGCTTCTTGGGATGTTCATCTGTCCTACCCCCTGTTTCCCTTGATTGCTAAAGCCCCATAGGCCCAGCAGCAGAGTAGGATACTAGCCCAGTTAGCCTCTATGGGCAGCAGCACACTCTTCCCAAGTACCTCCAAGCCTGTGCCTGTAGGACATCTCTGTTCGGGCCCAGTGGCCCTGGGGCTTTTCTCGCCTCAAGACTGTACTGCTAAGAAGGGCTTATCTCTTACCTCAGCCGTCCAAAAAGCCGGGGAAAAAATGCACAAATAATTAGTGGGAGCCTGGAGCCAGAAGAGCCAGCAGAAGTCATCTGCCTGTGACGACTTGTGTCCCCTGTACTGTATCTCTGGCCAGAGTTTTTCTGGGTGCTGGTTGAAGAGCTCATGGAGGGAAAGTCGCCATCACCTAGGCTACCCTTGACATGATTCACTCTGAACACTGGTACTACCAGGGCCACACCATTTAATTCTGTAACCAAACCATTTGAGGAAATTGAGATTCAGATATGAAGTAACTTGTCAAAAGTCACAGTCTCTCAAACTCTTATCTCTTCACAGACCCTGACAGTGCACCCCTTCAGAGAGGTGCCCAGAAGTGGCGACAATGCTTTCTGGTGAGGCTTGACCAAGCAAGAAGGCAATGGATCTGTCTCTCTCCCTTACTAAGACACACATGCATCTTCTGCCACATTGGTTTTGTTGGTGGCCTTAGACAGACACCGTCCAGCAGTAATACCCTAAGTCCAGCGTTTTGTGGGGGCTTTGTCCCTGCTGTCCTTTCTATGCACATCTGGTCACAGGGGCTGGAGTAAACATTCTTACCTGTTTGAGTCAACCAGCTTCCTGAGAGCAACTCGGCCTCTCAGGCTGACCATGAGTTCCTGCCTTGGGCTGGCTATAGGCCAAATTTTGGCAGTGACGCCGGAGTGGCCAGACTTCTGTGGAATTCAGCATCCCAGGAGGCTCTTGGTGACTGGAGACAGATCCCGTGGTAGCCAAACCCCATAGGGAATAAGCCCTGGCCTTTAGCAGACAGCAGGCTTGTGGGAGGAGCCAGAGTGTCTCAGCCTGGCAAGGGACAGTCCTAAGGGACTGTCCTCCTGGCCTCCCTCAGTCCCTGAGAAGTCCTCAGTCCACAACCTCAATGGAACCAGGGACTGGAGAAGCTCTTTAGGCGCCATCAAGGGTGGTCAAGGCGCATTCCCAGGCTCTAGCCCTGAGGACTGTCTCTGCAACCTCTTCTCCCAAAGCTTTGGGAGGGCACTTTGGGTTTCATTTTACCCTTGAATGTCTCACATGTATATTTCTGTGGCTGAGGAGAGATTGAATCAGCCTGCATGGTGAGTGCCTTCTGTGAGGCCTGAGGGAGAAAATTGGCAAGAACTAGTCTAGAAGCTCCCCAGGCTCGACTTGTGCTGCTTTATGCCTGAGTATGTGTCTTGGATAATGAGAGGCCATGACACTGAACATATGGCCTAGAAAAGAGACTAAACAATAAGGTTTAGATCAGAAGGCAAGGTACTTTTAGGATATGTAGGGAGCTGAAGGCTAGAAAGGTTGATTCCAACAGAGCTGAAGCAAGGGGGAATGTTAATAAAGCAGTATCTGTCTATATCCAGCCATTGTTAGGGATAAGGGAGAGACCACATAAAGGATCCATGTACCAGGCACACAGTAAACATTAAAGAAATTTCATATGTAAACTGAGAGAAACTAAGTGGCACAACTAGGGAGAGATTTTAAAAAGGTAACAGTGGCCATTAAGAAGAATGATTAGAGAGATGAGTTGAGAGGATTAGGAAATTATAGTGTAAGCAAAAACTGATAAATACTTGACCAAAGATGGTAAATGGAGGATGGTACCAGAGGGAAGAGCCTGATGGATGGGTGGTCACCAGCTCACTTAATGGGTGTGTGTATGTCTCAGAGTCAGGGCTCAGCACAGGTCTCCCACAACCAGCTAGAGAGCTTGGAAGAAAGGGACAGAAACGCTGGTTTCTGTGGTGGCATTGAAGGTGGTTGACAGATAAGATGGGCTTCTCTGCTGAGGGGTGCTGAAGACACTACGAAGGTCATGCCTGTCACTGTACAAAATCCTACACAGTTGGAAATGATGTCATCTTTGAAATAGAGATCCTGGGAAGGGAACACTTCTACTTCCAGGGGAGGAGCTGGTAACTGGCCATAGGAAGCTGGAAGAGAGAAAGGGCCCGGGGAAGTGGGAAGCAGGGGGAGAAACTGTACCAATGTGGGATAAGGCTTGGGGGCCTTATCTCCAGGGGTGAGGGGCAATGAGAGGGAAGTGAGAGACAGCTTGAAGGTACATTTAGCCCACTTCTCAGCCCTGGGTGGGGAGGTCCACTCTGACATCACCATCGGCCCACTTGGCACACCTTGGCTTTAGAGAGTGTTTCCGGTGCACTCAAGACAAGCTCCAAACGTGCCTGAAACACAAGTGTGAGACAAACTAAGTCACATGCATCTTTGATCCTGTTAGGACATAATCAGAATCACAGCTGGGAGGGGAGGAAGCGTGGGAGTGGAGCCGTGTCGTCGGGCAGACTATAATTCTGTAGTTAGAGACAGCAAAACAACTTGGCCTTGAGCACTTTACCAGTATTAGCATCTTACCTTTCTGGGTAAGAAGGTTCTGAGAAACAAACAGCAGTTCCCTCCTTCAGGTCCCTCCCCCAAACAGTGGATCAGACCCCTAGTTAGCCCCCAAACTGAACCCACCCTACAGTTCATCCCGATTAGACAGAAGACACATCTAAGCTCACACATCTACCCCACCCTACCCCAGATATGGCCCCTCCCCTAGAGACACATGCAGCCAAGTTGCTTTCCTATCAGAATCTGGTCCTGTAAATTCATAGTGAACCTGGATGTCAGGCTGTGTGGTGTGAGAACTAAGTACAGACTTAAAGTTCCAGATAAAGTATGTCTACAGTGAGCAAAATCAAACAGGATTGAGGAGGTCTTAGGCTTCCATCGGTAATTCCAAGCCCCACACTGCCTACTCCTTAACCAGCAACAGTCCAGAGGCTGGGGGTTCTTGGAGGTCTGAGAGTCAGGACTTCCTGAGCTGACCCAGGACCTCAGTGCGGCCTTGCCTCTGCACTTGTCCTTGGCATTTGCCTGTAACTTTGTTTTTATCTCTTGTGGCTTTTGTTTTTGTTTTTGTTTTCCAGAGTGGAGCACTTAAGGAACCGGACTCCAGCAAGACCCCACCTCAGCGGCCACCCCCCCAAGGTTGTTTACAGTATATTCTCGACTGTAATGGCATTGCAGTAGGTCCAAAACAAGTCCAAGCTTCTTAAAGTGATCAGTAGTTAATTTTTCAAAGCAGATAATTTAAGCCAAAAATAAAAAGAAGAGAAAATAAATAAATAAATAAAAGGAAGGCGGGAGGGGCGGCAGACCCTCAGATGGTGCCGCTGCTGTGTCCTCTCAGTGCTGACTGGACCGTTTCTCCTATGCAGTGTCAGCTCCTCGTCTGGTTGTTTACCTGTCGCTGTTTGTGCTTGTAATGCTTTTACGTTTTCTGTATAACTTGTGGTTCCAGGGCTGTTTGTCAACAGTGTACACAAGATTCGTGCCTCTCAAGTCCAGTGCGACTGTCTTCTGGGTGGTTTGACAGTGTTTTTAAAAGCATCCCATAGTGAGGGGTGAGATCTGTGCACGAGGTGGATGGGGAGAAACAGCCACCACAAACAGACAGCCAGGCTTCTCTCCTCCTCCCCCAGGCTCGAACTCATCTCCTCCCACTTACCTCCACAAGTGCTTGGGATCTTCAGTGAACTGTGTCTTACTTCTTCCCTGCATGACTAGGGTAAATAGATAGCGCTTCTAAGAGATTTTCAAGGTTTACTTTTCATAGTTCCATCCGTTGAATTTGAAGGCATCCATCTTTTTCTCCATCTGCTACAATCTGGTGTAGTTTGAGTTTGTGTGAATAAGCTGGCTGTGCCTGTAGAGCTCTTGTGTTTTTAGTGATGAAATACAAAGAACCAGCTGCTTCCAGGAATGTGTTCTATATTTTATATACCCGTGTTCCCTTCATTTTGATTATTAACTAGCTACAAGGTTAAAAAATAATAATAATAAGGGGCCGCCAATGTGCAATATCAAGTGGCATCATCTGTTCTGTGTGTTGATTCTCAGTGCCTGCAGTTGTTTCTTGGTTGTTGCTGTTTCTAAACTGGCCATGTATGCTTCTGTGGAGCTGAGGCTGCTGTGTATTCCTCAAAGCTTGGACTGTGAACAGAGCTGATTACTCAGCAGTGTTGAACAGTATGGGTGGGGGATGATTGACAGTCTGAGGAGAAGGAGTTCAATCCCCAGGCTTCCTAACAGGAGACCAAATCAGATATGTTTCCTGTCACCTGAGTGAGCACTCTACCTACATAGTACTGGGCTTGACCATTTTAGTTCTCAGCCTTGGCCTCTTTGGAGAACCAAAACCAGGGAGCTTTCTGGAAAAATCTGGCGTAGATGTTGGTGTGAGTTTGTTGGACAGATGCTCCTCCATACCTTGGAGAACCATTGACAGCGTGTCTGTCCTTCCTTCTGACAAGGAGCCTTGGGCAGATGATGTAGTTGTTAATTAAGCCAGAATTCGGGGTGGGGGTGGGGTCAGTGCCTCATCTTGCCATCTGTGAGCAGGGCTAGGAATGGGTTCCACGTGGCCTTCTCTAGTCCCGTAGCCTGTATGGGAGCGTATGTCAGCAGTCTGCCTTTTAGAAGAGATGCTTCTGGCTCTACTTACTTTCTCCACCTTTTTGGTGACATGATCAGGTACTGGGCTACCAGGTCTAAGGAGTGAGCAATGTTGGTTGTATGTAACTGAGTCAAGGGTCACATGCCCTGGTTTCTCCTTGGTTTCTGGAAAATTCCAAGGCTCTACAAAAATGTGTATAGTGAGAATGTTGTCATCTGTGACCCTTCCCTTAGATAAAGATGGTAGTCAATCACTTGTAAATATATACATATATGCATATAGGCACTTCCAGGTGGATTAAGATTCAGGCCCTTGAGCACCTCCTAGTCTAAAGAAATGTTCACAGAGAGTAAAGGAAAGTTTCCCAGAATGGAGGGATACATTTTTTGTTTTTAGCTTTTTTTGTTTTTGTTTTTTGTCCAAGTGGTGAGCTGATGGTGATGTTGCTTCTCTGCATGTTATCAGTGTGTTACATCCAGGTGCTTTTCATGTGACATTTGTGAGCCATACAAAGTTGCCATTTGAATTCAGTCAGGCTACAGGGCGGTGTCAGCCAAGGCCTCTCAGGTGGGGGTTAGATGCTGATCACAGCTCCCACTGCCACACGCAAGCAGACAGCATCACCTGACTATCACGTGCCCTCAGGCAGCATGCTAAGGGACAACTCTGTGGCCGGGGGGCACTTTTGTCACAGTGTAGGGTTTCTGTTCAGGTGTTCTGTTCCCATTTCTTCTCCCGTGTTGTCCCCTCCCCCGTTTTTGTACTGATCTGGCTGGGAGGTCCTCAGCCAATACTGGAAGTGTGATGAAGCGCCCTCTTTTGTGATTCTCTTGTACAGCTCAATGTGCAATAAAGGAAAAGTTATATCTGTCTTCAGTGTTAAGTTGTAAAGTTTCTGGCTATTCGATTACCTCACTCAGGTTTGTGATACAAGAGGCTGAGCTATCGACCTGAAAGAAATGCTGATACTAAGGAAGTAATAGTCCTGGCGTCAGACTTCAGGGGACAGAAGCTGGTTGACATGAAATAATTGGCTGGTCGTGTAGTTACCTGATGTGGCTTTGAACTCCTTATACGTGCAGAATTCCACATGTTTTACATATGTAATTTTTTATGCATAACATACCCAGCTATTAATTGGTGACTGATGATAAAGGGGAGCCCATGCCACATAGAAGGGAAATGAGCAGTAACCCTGGGTGTGCAGTAGCATAGACACACTTCTGCCTCTGAAGAGGACATAGGAGTGTTCTGGTTTCTAGGAAACAGGCCAGCCAGTCTTAGCTGTGGCAAGCCCATAAGTGTAAACTCTGGGATTGAGGCAAGAAACTGGATTTTCCAGGACAACTAGGAATCATTTTCATTAGTCAGTGTGTGCCCATGGGGTCATCTCTTGACTTCAAAGATGTGAAGATCCCCTTCTGAAAAGTATGAACTGATCCCACACTTTCTGTCCTTCCCTTAGACAAAGGAGGGCTTTTTCCCCCCCTCTCTCTCAACAGACCATCTATCTGATGGTTCTGTGTCTCATGTTGGGTAAAAGGTATGGTGTTATTAAGGGGGCTGTTTGCCAGATGGTGCCCACAACATCCCTGGGGGAGCTTGGGGTTTGAATGTCTGGAGAATTTCCCCACACACCTGAGCAGTTTGTTATTCTGGGGCCCCTGAGGATGGCACTCAGGTACAGAGGGCCTGGGAAGAAAGGATTGATCCTGGTCGTGGGAGTTAATGCGCCAGTGAAGCCCAGGTGGGATGGGTGTGGCAATCAGACACCTGCAGGCTTGGAGCAGGATGAAGGCAGCTCCATGGAAACAATGTCAGTCACTGATGAGCTTAAGGCACAGAATCATTTCTGAACAACTTTCTTGTCCGCTATCGTCTTTGAAACAACTACTATCTGTAAACGGTAATTGTAGGACTTTTAAATGTTTTATGGTCGGAGAAACTAAGGCCCAGAGAAGCTTGGCATCTTGCTAGGGGTAGTGTCACTGGTAAAGTATGTAAGTGTTCTGATTCTAGTGTTTGTCCCCTGCTCTCTCCTGCATCTTCTGTGTATATTAGAGCGGGGTGACTTCTTCCTGGGGACCTCTAGGAAGCAGAACGGAGTCCCTCTGGTCTGAAGGCCTTCTGTAAGGGAGCTTCTCTCTGTGGGGCTTCCCAGTCCTCTGTCTTCTTCCCTGCCCTTCGGCCTTCTGCTGTGACTAAGTTGCTGAGGCTCTGAGGAGCATCGAACAGTGATGATGTCTTGACTGAGGACTCCCTTTCCAGCCCTCAGAGCCTTGGGTAGCTTATCCTTTTAGCAATGACCTAACTACACCATTTGAGATAATAGATTCTACTAAGGGAACCCTTTGAGATGGTTAAATTATGAAGTTTTTCTTGTACTGAACCTAGGGGGCCCTGGGCAACCCCAAGGAATGCAGCCCCCAGGCAAGGTGCTGCCTCCGCGTCGGCTCCCCTCGGGACCATCACTGCCATCTTCTTCCTCTTCCTCCTCCTCTTCTTCTTCCTCTTCCTCGGCTCCTCAGAGGCCGGGAGGCCCCACCACCACCCACGGAGATGCATCCTGCAGCAGCACCTCCCTGGCAGAGGCCCCACCGCCCCAGGCTGCTGCACCACAGAAGCCCCAGGCTCACCCACAGCTCAAGTAAGATAACCCAGCAGTTCCTTACCCCTTTCCTGTCCCTCCTTGTGGGCAGCGGGTCTCTGACCTGCAACAGAACCACCTTCAGGTTGTCACAGATAGTGGGTGATTTGGGGGAGAGGTTGGTGGTGGTGATAGTTGTGGGTGTTTGGTTTGTTTGGGTTTTGTTGTTGTTGTTGTTGTTTTGTGTTTCTTTGCTGTGTGGAAGAAGAATGCCCAGAGTGATTGGGAGGAGAAAAAAGAGGAAATTCAATTTTGCCCCAGGTTGAGCGCAATGCTCTCACCCACTGCTTTCTTCCTAAGGAATTGCAGCAGGAACTGATCCACCTCTGTCTGGCCTTGTGCTAACTTGGGGCTCCCACTCTTTTTTTCCATGTGCATGCCTCCTGAGCTTAAAAACAAACAAAAAAAGAACCTTAGTCTTTCCGACTTCTGACTCAAAGGTATGCAATCAGCAAGGCTGCCCAAAAGTAAAGGGAGAAATAGTTAACTCCATCACAACTTTTACCTTCAGCTGTCTGGAGGAAGTGTAGGTAACAAAAGTGGCACCCAGGCGTTCAAAAAAGATCCTTCCTCCTTGGTACCCTCATTCTCAATGGTCAACCTAGAGGTCCCTGCACACTGTTGTTCTGCTGCATAGAGAACTGTACTGAGGGTTAGGAAGCAGTAGTTCTATCCTTGGGAGGGTGTCCCCAGTGCAGTCTGCTCCACCAACTCCCCAGAGCCACACATGCTAGTTTTAATATCCCTATGCAGACTCCTGGCAGAGATATCAGTGGCTCCAGGGACACTGGAGAAGTGGTTCTCAGCCTGTGGGACACAACCTTATGGGAGTCAAATGACCCTTTCACAGGTGTCACCTAAGACTATCAGAAAACACATATATTTATTTGCATTATGATTTATAGCAGTAGCAAAATTATAGTTATGAAGTAGCAATGAAAATTTATATTTGGGTATCACTACAACATGAGAAACTGTATTAAAGGGTCAAAGCATTAGGAAGGGTAAGAACCAGTGCTCTAAAGTGATAGGTATTAGTGAATCTTAGAAAGAGAGAGAGATGGAGTGGGGGGGGGGTGAACTTTCAGAGTCCAGGTGAGCACCTGGGGTTGTGCACTAGAAGAAAACTTTGCTCAGAACCACCAATTAGTGGCAGAGTTAGGGTTGGGGCCTGAGTGACCAAATGCTTACTTCTCTGGGTCTTCTAGTAATACACATTGAAGAGGCATGGCTATCCTTGTTCTTCAGCTCAAGCTAGTAATACCTCTTATATCCAGCTTGCTGTGCCACCTCCTCAGTTCAGCAGTTTGTCCTTGCTGACTGGGATCATCATAGCTGCCCTGGTCCCAATATAAAAGCGAACCTCTGGTTTGTCATCGCCTTGGGGCTAAAGCTGAGGAGCAGAGCCAGCCATTGGTGATGAGCTGGAGGCTTTGTACCTGGTGCCCTCTGCTTACGCATGCAGAAGTCTCCTTCCCCAGAGGCCAGCATGCTAGGGCTTGTCACCAGCCCTAATGAAAGGCAGGACACCTGTCCACAGTCCCTGTGGGAGGAGAGAATGACACACAGGTGGGATTTTCCTGGATGCATTTAGAGAGGGATGGAGGTCCCAGAGGAGTCCTAGAGCCAGAAAGACCCAGTGGGAGTCAAGAGACAAGCCAGGTCGCTGAGGAAGCCAAAACCTCATGTTTTCTCCTGCACTGTGGTGTTGGCTTCCCCCAGCCTCTGGCCTTCACAGTTTTTCTTTCTGAATCCTTGCTATGAAAAGATAAGTTCCTAAAGAGAGAAAGATAGAGAGAGTAGGGATAGTTGGGTTTTTTTCATTATCATATTGCTTAATAATCGTGGCCCAATAAAGTGTCTTTTTTACTCCTATATACCTGAATCCTTCAAACCTCATATCAAGGTTCCTCTGAGGAAGGCTACAGGGGTGACTGTGACCACAGTAAGTACAGGGACATGGAGCTAGAGATGTAGCTGGATCAGTAGAATACTTGCCTAGCATGCACAGAGCCCTGGGTTTGATTCCCAGCCCTGCATAAAACATGGTGTGACAGTACATGCCAATCATCAAACACTTAGGAGATAGGAACGCAAGAGGATACTCAACTACACAGGGAGTTCAAGGTCAGCCTAAGCTACATGAGATTCTATCTTAAAAAAATAATAATAAATGTAAGTCCAGGGAAATGGAGGCGTTAGACTTTATGGATCAAGCTGAAGACATTAGACTTTGTGGATCAAGCTCAAATAAGAGAAATAGGAGGAACCAAGAGGACCCAGAGGTCATCATTCTACCAAAATCTTCATGCCATACATGATAAGCCAGGGTCAGAGTGACACATGCTTGCCTGAAGCCAGACATGACTTTGTGGCAGAATCAAGTCTCTGAAGTTGAGTCCATCTTGGAAGTTGATGAAAAAGAGAGGCCAGGAGCCCACAAGTGCTAGTGTCTTCTTTTACCAAAGGGAGAGGGTATGAGATGCCTAGACCCATACTCAGAAGCTGGGGACAGAGCCTTTGAGTCACCTTCTCTTCCTGTTGCCTCTGGCACTTTTGCCCTTCTCTTTGGCCCCCACACTGCTCCCATCCCGTTTCAGCAGTATTGAAGGTGAGGAATAGTCAAGGGCTTCCTAGTGCCTGGTACAGCCCTCCCAGCCACCTCCTGCTACCCTGTTCTCCCTGGGGAGGGAGTGGGGAATTCTTGTTGTGCACCCTCCCATCTCAGCCCTTCGCAGCCTCACTAGGAACACCCTCCTCATGTTCTCTCTGGTTTTTATCTTCAAGCAAGTCGCAGTCCCTGACAAATGCGTTCAGCTTCTCTGAGTCCTCCTTCTTCCGGTCTTCAGCCAATGAGGATGAAGCTAAAGCGGAGACCATCCGGAGCTTGAGGAAGTCCTTTGCCAGCCTCTTTTCAGATTAGCTCTTCAGATACACGAGGGCGAGGGCGCCGGCCCAACCAGGAAAGGCATCTAAGACATTCACCAACAACAGTCCGCCACGTTTGGTGGCGATGTCCCATGACTTGACATGTGTGGTCCCTTCTTCTGTTCCTTTGTGCTCAGTAATTCGTGCAGCCCAGAAAATGACCAGGTGACAGCCTCAGGGCAGGTGCCTACCCTGAGAGGGACTGACAGGAGAGGAAAGGGCTGTTTCCCTGTAGTCTTAAGAGCTTTATCCTGAAGTCATTGTTGTGAATTTAGTGGCCTTATTGTGACCGAGCCATTGTGTCTTACTCTTCCCTGTGAAGCCAGGAAGGCTCCTGGCAGTTCAACCCTGCTCAGATGCAGAGCTCAGCATGTCCTTGTAGTCAGTGCTACCCGTGGGAAGAATGTACTGTTGGCTCCGAGTTTTAGAAACTTTCCCCAAAGCTGGGTGTCCTGTGGCACCTGTTGAAAGCACACTCACCTGACCCTGCGCTCCCTAGACTGCTGTGGTAGTGATGTTCTCATGTCTGTTGAATCAAGAGAACCAGGACTGCAGTGTCTCTTTTCTCCCCTCCGGAGAACAGCTCTGTTGTGTGAGCTGCAGTAACCTTGGCCTCCCAAAGCTGCACTGTAGAAGTGAATGCATGATGCTATGATAGCAGTGCACCAGCCCTTGTGTTCCTCACCTAACGAATGTCAAGACCTTGGTGTAATAAAAGCAGCAGCATTAACTGGCATTTGATTCAGCCCTGAGGTTCCCCTGTCTAGGTTGAGCACATACACGGGGGTGGGGGGTGGGGTGGGGTATGGGGGGAACATGGGGGGGGATGCAGGTGCAATTATAGGTAAGGAGTGAAAAGTCCAGGACTGTAAAACTGCTGTTGAGTGTGTTTGAGGCTGCAAGTGTCTGTGTTGAGAATGTGTCCGTACTTTAAGTCACACACTGACAATCCTGACAGCACCCCAGTGGATCCGTCTCCTCTAGAGCTGCTGACTTACGGTCAAGAGCTTGGCATTTCTACCCATTTGATTCAATTCACAGACTCTAATCTACATAACACCCCTACTTGCATATCAGCCAAGTTAGACCCACTCTCCCAACTTTCATCAGTATCCTCAGCTAAAGTTCACAGGGTAGGGCCAGCAGAACAGAAGCAACTGGCTCTGGTGAATGTGGGCCCATAGCTGTATCTCAGGAGGCCTGAAGGACTGCTCCTGGGGTGGGCTCTGAGTGATTGTACTCTGACATACTCATGATTCTCTGAGGGTGTTTCCAAGGACTACCAATGCTCTGAAGATAAATTCCACATTTACATATGTTTAAGAAAAAAAATCAGTGTGTTAGCATTTTAGCTACATAATTCCCTGGGTTAAGTACAAATTAACAAGTTAATACTCATAAAAATGCCACTGTCTGGCCCCTGTTCACGAGCAGGGATTCCAGGAGGTCAGATAATGAATTTTGGTGGTGCCAGCTGAGTCACATTTATCCCATGTTTTAGGATCTAAAGACTGAGTGAGGCAAGTAAGACAAGAAGTAGAATCTCATCTCACCCATTGAATGGCACTTGATGGGTGATGTCCTTCTAGCCTTCATTCCACAGCACACATACTTAGCGTATGGCAACCAAATAAACTCTCCCTCCTGGGGATGGAACTCAGGGCCTCAGGGCCTCACTCATACTAGGCAAGTGCAATGCCTCTGCCTGCATCCTAGTGAAGGAGAAGGGCCGCAAGTCTCAGGTTTTGTTTGAAGAAATGACAGCACAATCAAAATTCAATAACTTGTTTGTGGTCATCCAGCTGGTCACGTGGTAGACCTGAGATTTAAACCCAAACAATAGGGGCTCTGAGTGTGGCTCCTTGGATACAGCACCTGCTATGCAAGTATGAAGACCAAAATTTGGATGCTCAGAATTCATGAGAAAATAAAAGCCCAGATGGGTGTGGTAGCATGCCTATAATCCTAGTGTGTGGGAGGCAGGGACAGGGAATCCCTGGAGGAAACTGGCTACCCTGACTAGCTGAAACAGTTCAAGATTCAGCCAGAAACCCTGTCTGAATATATAAGGCGGAGAACAAAGAAGGAAGACATCCAGAATCAATCTCAGGCCTCCATGAGTTCACGCAAGTGCATGTGGCCCTGTATACATGTGCTCGCATGTAGATGCATACACATGTACACTGCAAAGAGAATTCATGGCCTTAGTCACTTTGCTATATTTTAATCAATCTTGCAGGATTTTATCAAATTTTCATAGGGTAACTACATAACCTAGCCAAGTGGAAAGGGGTGAGAGGTTGGTGGGCTTGTCACCAGTGTTGACCCATTGTCCTAAAACCATGAGTAACATGCACGGTGTGTCTTATTCTGTTCAAATATATTTCTGGTTCTTAAAAAATTACTCACCCCTCCACATGTGATGTCAAAACCAAAACCACAAGTAGCTTATTTAGAAAATGAGTCACCCTGGAAGGACTGTTGGGGCAACAGAAAGGGGAGGCATTTACCATAGTCATGCAGTACCCTAGTCAAGGGATACAGGGATTCTACCCAGCCCCTACTAATAGATCTGGACCAGAGGTGGGGGTGTTCCATTGAGAAACAGACGTCTTGGCATTTAAAAAAGATGGTCACAGAGACTTGGAAAACAGTACCTTACAATAGTCAAACATCCAGTGAATAGTGTGAGTAAAATGATCAAAAGTTGGGTCAAATGGTTGATCCCAGTCTGCTGTAGGTTCCCTAAGCTTTTGGTCTGTAGGACATCTGGCTACCTTGTAGATTAGATTACCTCTCTGTAGCTTATTCCCTCTGACATCCTTGGCCCAGACGAGTAAACAGAAAGCTTCATTCCTGCCCTTGTGGGGCTCCCCACCAACCAGATCAAGGTGAATAAATTCTGTTCATTATGTATTTGTTGGTAATTCTTTGTTGTGTACTTATTAAGCTCAACAAATATCATAAAAGAATATAAAACTGAACTACCCAAGGTTTCTGCATTCATAAAATCCACAATTATCAGGGGAGATGATGTAAATAAAAAAGGCAAGGGTACTGTCCTAAAGAATGCAATCATGGTTTTAGCTCAGAAAATAATAAAGCTTGATAGCTATCAATAAGAATGTGGGAAACTCTACACTTATACATTGCTGGTGAGAGCATGTGTGGGCACTACATCCAGTGCCCAGCTAAGCTTCAGGAATCTTATTTCTGAACACTTTTAGGGACTTCATCTACACAAGAAAGCAAAAGAATATTGGTTACAACAACAACAACAACAAAACAAAAACAAGACAAAAAAATCCAAACATGGAAACAAACAACTGTTTCTTATGAAGGAATTAAATAATATATTGTGACTCATCATAAGACTACTTTATGATTTAAAATATGTGAGGAATTCAGATGAGAGTTCTGATAAGATATAGAAAGAGAATGAGTAAGATGAGTTACACTAATGTAAGATGGACAACAAGCTGTACGTGTCTCAGTGGAGCATATGTCTAGCTCCAGGTCAGAAAAGCCTACATGGTAGGTTGGAGAGAGCTGGGAAGAGTCTGCAAGATTTGGAGGCCTGTCTGCTAAGGGAGGAGTGGGTGCAAAGAATTCAGAGTTTTAGAGTTGAAAGCAGCAACTAGTCTTAACAACTCTTTATAAATGAGAAAATTGAGGCTCAGGCACTTAGGGCCTGATAGTGACAGTAGATAGTGACAGACAAATAAAAGAACTTTAGTCCTGTCTCCACGGCCATTCAGAACCTGTCCTTCCTGAAACAGGAATGGAGAGGTGTATCAAGGCAGGTAATAGGCCAGGAGGAAGTGGGAAGACTACAATGTTAGCCAGTGGCAAGAGCCTGGGTCAAGTCTGAGTTTGTACCCAGGCTCTGCTAATTATTGGCTAATTGACTTGACCTTACAAATGATTAGCTTTTCTGTCTCAAGTTTTCCTTTTCTGGGTGGGTTTCAGGATTAAATGAGCTAAATGTGTGCTCCTAACAATGGCTGTTTCTGAGACCACCATAATAAATTCCACCTCTGTCAACCGCAAAGAACACACTTGCCAGTCTCCTTTCATATGACTCCTCCCAAGGTATCCAATTGCCTTTCTCCAGCTCCCAGGTTAGTGAGCCTCTAGGGCAATTTAAACCCAGCTGAAATGACCTGAGGCTATAGCTATTGAAGGCCAATTAGAGTTGAGGGTGGACACCTGGAGAAACAGATGCTGTGGCTGCCAGGCTTCCCACTGGCACTGATATAGTGTGAGTGAACAGACCATCAGTAACCTTTGCAGGTATAAAAATGAAAATCCCATTAAAGAGAGGGTCTCACTATGTAGCTTTGATTGGCCTAGAACTCACTAAGTCACCAGGCTAGCCTTAACTCACAGAAACTGACCTGCCTCTGCCTCACAAGTCCTGGGAGGAAAGAACAGGCACCACTATGCCTGGCTAATAGTTTTCCAGTCTTTTTATTTATTTATTTTTTCATTTTTATTATTTTTAATGTGGGAGAATGGGGTGGGGTGTATGTTAAAGCTGGTGCCAAAAGAAGCCAGAAACCAGAGATCATCCTGGAGCTGGAGTTACAGGTAGTTGTGAGCCAAACTCCTAGCTGAGTTGGGAATTGTAATCAGGTTCATTGGGATAGCAGTGCAGGTGCTTTGCATCTGAGCTATCTTTCCATCCTACGGTGGACCTATTCTTAAACACACCTCCTACACCATCACTTCCACCATGTTTTGGATTCCTCCAAAGCAGTCCCTCTGGGAGACTAAACATGTATTCTAGCCAGACTGCTGCTTAGACACAGAAAATAATTGCCTTCAGATCTGTCGTAAGTACATTATTTGAATTTCTGTGATTTTCGGAAGATCGGGAATTTTAAACCTAGGAATCCAGAGATTTCCTTTACAAACTGCTCTTTGCATTCTCTGTGTATTTTAGCGGAGTTCTGACATACAGAAAATAATTAGGAATTGTCATTTTAGGGAGTAAATTAGGATTTAAAGGAAACAGT